TTTTAGTGTTTTTTTTTTTTTTTTTTTTTTTTTTTTTTTTTTTTTTTTTTTTTTTTTTTTTTTTTTTTTTTTTTTTTTTTTTTTTTTTTTTTTTTTTTTTTTTTTTTTTTTTTTTTTTTTTTTTTTTTTTTTTTTTTTTTTTTTTTTTTTTTTTTTTTTTTTTTTTTTTTTTTTTTTTTTTTTTTTTTTTTTTTTTTTTTTTTTTTTTTTTTTTTTTTTTTTTTTTTTTTTTTTTTTTTTTTTTTTTTTTTTTTTTTTTTTTTTTTTTTTTTTTTTTTTTTTTTTTTTTTTTTTTTTTTTTTTTTTGTCTTTCAAAATATTTTTATCTTTTTTTGGTTTTGTTTTTTTTTGGGTTTTTTATCAGCTTGAATGCAGGGCTTGTAACAGCACGTACATCGGGGAAACAGGAAGAGGGATTTAGCTACGCGCGTCAAGGAACATCTAGCTGGGAAAAGGCGTGGTATAATGACCACTCCTCTTGGCAAGCATAAGGTTGAAGAGCACAACGGGAATGATTTTGATGTTAAGTGTAGTATATTGGCTTACGAGACGGATATCTCGTCCAGGAAAGTTTTGGAATCGTTCTGGATTTTCGCGAGGAAACCGAGGATGAACGGCCGAAACGAGTGCTTGTCTATTACAAATGAATTCCTGCCGTTTGTATCAGAATGCGAGCTACAATAAGGACGATGTGCGTTATCACAATTTCGACTTACACGACACGATGGGACTCGAGTGAGTCTCATTCGTCCTTACTAACCAACTAACAGACAGCGAGAGCTAGGCTCCGCACGGTGGCACCTTCGGTGAGTTGCTCGCAGTTATACCGGGTTGTTCGGGAGCGTTCGCGACAGGACGTCGGAAACGCTAGAGTGGGGAAGGGGCGTTTTGCGTCGCGGTAAGTAACAATCAAAGCTTCGAGCCATTTTCAGGCCTCTGAAGAAGACGAGAAGGTCGAAACGTTAGGCCAATAAAAGGTTCACCTAACAACCTCGTTTGGCAGAAGCAACTTAATATTCGACACCATGCCGAGGTTACAACAAGGGAGAACGTGGAGATTATTAGACGACGTAGCCTAACCTGTTGGTTTTTTCATTTGCTACTTTTTTTGCTACTTTTTTTTGCTTTAACTCGTTTTCTGGTTACTCTCTAACAGTGGAATATGCACCGTTTGGTACAGCTCCTCGGATTGCACGAGGTTATGCTTTGATGATCTAGAACTCAGTCTGAAAATTCTTAAGTCCGCGCTGTAAGGAGACTCATTCGTCCTTGTTATTCCTGATAATACACAGCTGAGCTAAGCTCCGCAAGGTGGGACCGACCAGGAGTTACTTGTTCTCAGTACCGGGTGGTTCAGAAGCGTTCGGTGACTCTCCCATGTTTGATTCTTGTGCATGGCAATTTTTGAGAGCGTCACGATATTAGACCATGAGCGACTTAAACTGACTAGACCCTTTATTATATCCGTTAATTTATTTACTCTCCAGGATGCATATATACATGGAAATCACAGTCAACAGTGAAGAAAACACTGAAGGTGGAATATGAAAGTAGATACATTAAGCTGCTACCATACTTGTACAAAGGACACAGAGCTCGAATATGAGCACTAAGCTCAAATAGCCGGAACTGTAGAAATAGAAATATAGAGAGAAGATTCCTCGATTGCTTACTATCGAAATACGCGAGGTACAAGTGGAACAACTCTAGTTACAGAAAACAAAAGCGCAAATACAAGGGAGTATAATGGGAAATGGAAACTGTTTAGATTTTTAAAGAGTTACATAAGTGTCACATAAGTAAGAGGATTTGTATTATTAGTATTAAGAAGTATCAACACAGTTACATCGTGAAAGAGAATTCAGAGTTTGTGTTCTAACCGGAAAGAAGACTATCTCTACGGGCACTATCGCGATAGCCCATTAAGAGAACATGATAAGTAGCTTTAGCAAGACATTATTCCCAGCTTGAAGACCAACTGTACACTACCTCCGCGGGTCCTGGTCCTTGCCATGTGCGTAGTCAAGAAGTCAGCCCGCGCTGCGCACTGCCAGCTGACCGCTTTCATTCTGTGGTCAAAATAATGGCGGGCGAGAAGCCTCCATACTCACGCCCGCACTGCCAGCCACACGTCTAGATAGCTAGACGCACTACTTGCCTACGTCCCCTCGCTTCTGGTTGTTCTCTGCTGCTGAGTGCTTGTTTCGCTGCAGGATCTTGGAATCGACGCAAGTGCTGCACAATGAGGATAGCGTGTTCAGAGTACGGAGACGTCGCTACGGCTACCACTACAAAGCTGCGAACCTATTGACCATGCACATGGAAAGGACCGTCCTCGGAAATTAATTCACAGTTTGTCTAAAGTATTGCCACACGATGACGGTGTGACCGCCGTTGTTAATTTTCGTTTAGGTTATTATACTCTTCACGCGACTGTTACATTGAAAATATACAGTTATCACCGAGAACGAGGGGAAAAGTGAATCAAGAGGTGACTGTAGAAAGGAGTGGAATTAAGCACATCAAGGTTTTCACGATATGCTACAGCCACTGAAGTTATTTGAATCTTTCTCCGTTTGATAAATCTTCTCCTCAACTACGGGTTTCAGCTCATTTTTTCCTTTCTTGATCTTCGAAAAATCAGGCATTGTGGCTTTGCCAATATCAAATGATGCGTAGACAGCAGGAGTCCAAACCTGAAGCATCAAAAAGTGGGTTAACAATGATTCGTGGGACGCACCGAACTATGTTCATCACGTTTTAGGGGCTTTAAATCTGGAAGTATGCCAAACTTAGCCTATTTATTAGTTGTAGAACTACACTATGAGTTGAATACGCTAGGTACAAGTCATGAAACAAATATGGAAGTTACTTACATCAGCAGGTGCTGGATAGAGGAACGGTTCAGCTTTAGCAACACCGTAATTGGGATTCGGATCCAACTGCGGACACTCGTCGGGAACCTGAACAGACAAGCCATTCATGCTAATATGAACAAGGATTTTGTACTTAGGAACGTTCAAACATGGTGAGTTGTGCTGTATAAATACTAGACAGCTCCGCGGGGAAGAGAAGGCAGACCCCCCACCCCTCCCGAAATGCCTCATGCCAAACCACGCATGTATGAGCAGAAGAGAAGAAATGGCATGGCCGAATGAGATCTCACTACTTGGTGCCAGCTCTTTCCCTTTATCGCCTTACCTCACCATTCCAAATCTAGAGAGAACAGCACAACTGCACTCTATACATGAAAGTTGGGCGTTGCCATGGCCAGTGGGCGGAGACGCGGTCCCATCGCGACTTTCGCACCTCAAAATGCGAGGGAGGGGGGTCGCGCACCCCCCACCTCCTCCTCCCGCATTTTGAGGTGCGAAAGTAGTGCATCTGTCATGCTTGCGGGCAGAACTACCTTGTCTCAAGGAGGCGTCTGCGCATCAAATGAAAGGCGTCTCTTGATTCTGCATTATGGTTCTTGATTATCGGAATCCTCTCATACCACGAATACAAAACATCGATCCACTCTCCCCTACTGAGAAGTAAAATGCGACCCCTCCCTAAGTAGGAAATTTCCGAATAACGTCCCCCTAGACCAAAGTGTATTACAATAATGTTTAGATACCGAGAGCAGCTCCTGAACTGTTTCTGTGCCACTCGTGAAATTCCTACCGAGTAGTGTTGAAGGTGACGAATGATGCGAATGAATGGTTAAGTATTGAAGACAGATCCCGCGCTCAACCAGTTGGTAGGATTCCTTCCTTCCTTGCCCAAGCAGTCCGGTCCGTAATGCTGAAGGCTGTCTCACTTTCACGGTTTCACGGAAAGTGACGAAATTACTACCGGTGTCATAAATTGAAACAATTCACGGTACCTCATGTTGCCTCGCTCAAGCAGGATGAGATATGCGATGGTCGTGTCAGTAAGTACAGATGCCATCCATTCTGCGTGGGTAACCCGTAGTCCTTGTACGTAAAGGATATCTCTTAACCGCGAACACTTCTTCCTTTTTCTTCCTTCTCCCTTAACTCTCCCTTCGCTTATTTCCCTCCCTTCAAATGCTCGACTAGATCATGCGGTGGGAATATACCGGTTACGGGGCACTTGTCAACCAGATCTGCTCTCGCTGCGAGGGTCCAGGGGTATTTTCTCGTGGCAACTACTAGCTCAGTAGCTGAAGGGAGAAGGTAAAGGAGGAGGGAACAGAGAAGGAAGGAAGAAGAAAAAAGGAAGGAGAAGAGAGGCTTCGCAGTTGACAAGTGCCCTGAAACGGGTGAATATACCAGTGACCCTCGTAGCGAGAGATGATCCGCTTAACGGAAGTCCTATCTCCGTCATCTTCAACTCAAGCTGCCATGCAAAATGTAAGGTATTTCACTCCTCATCAGTTCTTTCCTAGAATAACATGGAACGGTGTTCGGAGCTGTTTACTGGTGTGAACTAGCAAGACCAGAAAACACATCCTGTCACAGGGACCTCATTTTGTGCTTTCAGCGATGGAATCTGGCCAGCGCGCCATCTACAAGGTGGCCGTCCCCACAACCATCGACTGAAATTAAGGTTCTCACGAAGGCAAGCGGTGGAATAATCGCTTTGATAGACCAATCCAAAATACTCTTAAGTGTCGCACAAAAGTGCATAGGAACGGTGCTGGAGAGGAAAGGCACCCGGCTGCCGTCTGGCGTCGCCCGAACTTCGCCTGCGCTGCCGCACGGCCAGCCTCACATCGAACTGTATCCGCGAATTGAATGGACTGCGTGCTCGCAGCGGGATTATGGTGTCGGCCGGTGCTGCACCTTGAAGACCGCGTTGGCGCAGTCGGGAGTAAGTTTTCCGTCTCACTACCTTGAGCCCTGTCCCGGAGCACTTTTGAGCGAAAAAAGTGGCACATTACTGCAGCTGTCTATCTGTTCTTCTCGAAAACAGGAGTCATCCTCGGAGGTTAGTGCACTTTGCCTTTAAAACGAAAATAATGAAACATCATAACGATAATAATCAAGTGATACCGGTTGGTGATATATGAATCCGTTTTCACGTTGAGCTTTTTCGAGGTGGCGGACCAAGAGAGGCTTGACGTTGCGGAAAAACAAATGATCTAGGGGCTTTATTCGTGTACCTGGTAAGGAAATAACAAATTGAGATGCTTCTGCAAGTTTTGGCTTGAAACGTGTATCAGTTACCTGGTCCTGGAGCGGTACTATATTTGTTAGCGAAATCGCAAGCAATCTCGTACTCAGCAACACCCTCTTTGCAAGCTCTAAACTAACATCACTGATTGGCTAAAACATCACCTTCTTTGATTTCCTAGTAATGGTAATGACTACCTTACTGCTTCTCCACACTTATCCTCTTTGAGCAAAGACTCGCCAAGGAAAGCATATGCGTACGCAAGATACAGGTGCTCTTTAAGCTGTAAATACCGCCTCCACCTTCCAAATATTTCTTCTTTGAGTGATGACAGATCTTCCCCTGAACCATGGTGAGATTTTACTACGTCTTTGGCAGCGTTCAGACTTCGCGACAACAGCGCTTCGGTCGCGCGTTCGACGCGATCGATGCGCATGCTTTCGACTGCATCGATCGCGTCAAACGCGCGACCGAAGCGCTGCCGTCGCGAAGTCTGAACGCTGCCTTTGAGTAATGAAACAGTTTTTGCAGGGGTTTTTCAGGTCACAGAGTGTATTTTCAAAGCGGTACATTGCACGCTGTGGGGGACATAGTAGTTAAATGAACTATAGCAGTGATGTTGTCTTCTGTGCGCTTCTAGGAATGTCAAAGGAATGGTGATCAATTGGTTGATGGCTCGAATCTCCGTGGTAACCTTGTAATTTTCATTTTCTTGCACTGTTATGAGCTGAAACTCCAGCGCTATTCACCCTTTACTGCTCCAATCTTCCGAAGTCAAGCCACTTTTGACGGACTTATTTCTCCATGGACAGAATTGGTTCGAATGTTGTCTCTGGGATGGCTTGAACTCCTGAATACGAATATCACATCCGCTTGGCCCCAAACCTCTTGGCGCCCGCACCACAGGCGCCGGCGCTAAAGTGCCCTAAATACCCAAGTTTGCTGAAAACCTGTTCCCTGGAATACTTTGACCTCTTAACAAGCATATCACATTTGTGCGAGGTGTTAAGGTTGAGGATGGAGTAAAGGGGTGCAGCTGAATAGCACAGCATACTTCTGCGAACTTGTGTTTTAGGGCGTACTACCAAGCATACCTGGCGCCTGCGACATGGGCGCCAGGAGGTTTGGGGCCAAGCGTATGTAATATTCGCTGTGTTCAGGAGGTGAAACTACGCCGGGGTAAAACTTTTAGCCAAGTCTGCCCTCGGGGAAAAAAGGTCGCTTAAAAACTGGCTTTTTCAGATGATTAAGGCAGTAAAGGGTAAAAAGTGGCGACCTCCTTGGAACTTGAATGTGTCCAAAACACCAGTTTCTTTCATTCTTAAGCTAAACGTTCCAAATCACCAAGTTCGCCGTGAACTCGAAGAACTTATCCCACTACTTTCTAGGCACTCCTAACAGCGAGTAGGAGAAACGAACAACACTTCTGTGCCATGCTTGTATCCCTGCGACGTGCAATAAACGGTTTCGAAAACTCATTCCATGACGAAACATCGATTCTGATTGTGCCAGTCAGGCTGCAACATACTGACCCGCAGGCAGCAATATACTGACCTGCCTTGGAAAAAATGCTCGAAGTATGTGCAGCAAGAGACGAGATAAGAAGAGGGTTATGCCGCATTTCAATCGCACGTGCTACGACAACCTCTTGCGACTCGGCTATTGCCTATAAAGATATGTCTGAAGATAGTGAACGTTTGTTAGAAACTTCGGCACCATTGAACTATTTTTACCACAAAACCAAAAAAATTGCTGAAACTTTGCCTGAAAGGGTAACTCGGTGCCCTGATCACAAATATCAAATTCGTTTCGCGCTGACACCATTTAGCGTAACCAGTTTTCTCGCCAAAGTCGCTGGAAACATATATGCGGGCGCTATTATTAAGAAAACTACATTCGCTTCTGACCCCGGCGCCAGTAGGGCGCGACGGCCTTTACCAAAATCGGTATTAACCTCCACAAGAAGTTAT